CCGTCTCCCATCGAGGCAGGGTGACGTGAAAAAGAAACACTTTCACCATCATTTACAACATCACTGTCTTGCCAGAGGCGCACAGATACGAAAGTTCAGATGCCCCTCTAAACAGTAAATACCCAAACCCCTCCTTCAGAATGCAAGCACTGTACTGCTCATCTCCAGGACTCAAGTCCAGCTAACCAGACTGTATACGAGCACAAAATGTAGCCACCCATACTTTCAGAGTTCAACTGTGACATTTTATTTATTTAAAACACCAGCCATCTTCCAGTGAAGTAGGGAGACCTAAAATAGAAAAGAAAAAAGAGAAAATACATTTGCTCTCATTCATTCAATCACTGCCTTGCCAGAAATATGCTGAAGTACTATTAGTAAGACCCACTTATCCACAGGAATACATTCCAAGGCTCTGCCATGGATGCCTAAAATGTGGATAGTAGTGAACCCTATATATAAGTAGTTTTTTTGATTACATACATACCTATGATAGTTTAATTGATAAATTATGCACCATAAGTGGAGAATTAGCACTTTTTCACTGAAAGGGAACAATTCATGGCTTCCCTTAGGCTCTGAAGAACTGCCACCATCACTGCACTCTGGGGTCATTATTTAGCAAAATTAAAGGTTATGTTCCAGTCACAGCAAACCGCGGATAACTGAAACCATGGAAAGTGAACCTGCAGTTTGAGGGTTGTATTGTACAGTATTTTCTTTCCTCCATAAGCCATGTGTGTTGTAAAAGGTGACTAAAATGCCAGGAGTAAGAAACTAGTAACCCCTTCTGTACAAATTACTACATGTAAAAAGAAAGACTTCCATTTTTCTTTATAGGGCGCCGTGCCTCTGTGGGAGATGGCCAGTACATTAAAAAAAAAAAATTATATTTATGAGAAAGTGCTCAACCTGTAGGGGTCATACAGCCAGTGGGAATGGGAGAGAAGAGTACCTGAAATTCATTGGATCAAAAGCCCTTCACCAGCATCAAGGTAACCCCCAATGAAGGTTCAACCTTGAAGGTTCATTCTTAAAAAGTTCAGCCATTGAAGGTTCAACCATGAAGGTTAACAATGAAGGTCAACCTTGAAGGTTAACCATGAAAGCTGACCAAAATGAATTGCCTAGTAGTGGCTTTCTTGTGTGTCCGTCTCTGTTATATTCCATGCAAACTTACTTTATTTTTCTTTGTATGAAGATCAATGGTTCAGAGAACGACAGATGATACATTAGAAACATGTGCAACCTCTGGGTATCTTTTGTGAGGAAACGTTTCGCGAAACTTTTCCTCAATTAAAGATACCCAAGAGTTGCACATGTTTCTAATGTATCATCATGTCGGTTCTCTGAACCATTCATCTTCATACAAAAATAATGTAGTTGACATGGAATATAACAGTGACGGACACACAAGAAAGCCACTAATAGGCAATTCATTTTGGGCAGCTTTCATGGTTGAACCTTCAAGGTTGAACCTTCAGTGGTTGAACCTTCAGTGGTTGAACCTTCAATGGCTGAACTTTTAAGAATGAACCTTCAAGGTTGAATCTTCAATGGGGGTTACCTTGATGCTGGTGAAGGGCTTTTGATCCAATGAATTTCAGGTACTCTTCTCTCCCATTCCCACTGGCTGTATGACCCCTACAGGTTGAGCACTTTCTCATAAATATAATTTTTTTTTTTTAATGTACTGGCCATCTCCCACAGAGGCACGGCGCCCTATAAAGAAAAATGCGAAAGTCTTTCTTTTGACATGTGTAATTTGTTATACAGTAGGGGTTACTAGTTTCTCACTCCTTGGCATTGTAGTCCCACCTTTTACAACACACATGGCTTATGGAGGGAAAGGAGATACTTTACAATACAACCCTCAACTGCAGGTTCACTTTCCATGGTTTCAGTTATCCGCGGTCTTGCTGTGACTGGAACATAACGTTATATTTTGCTAAATAATGACCCCAGAGTGCAAAAGTTTAGTGGTGGTGGCAGTTCTTCAGAGCCTAAGGGGAGCCATGAATTGTTCCCGTTCAGTGAAAAAGTGCTAATTCTCCACTTATGGTGGCATAATTTATCATTAAACTATCATTGGTATGATGTAATCAGAAAAACTACTTATATATAGGGTTCACTACTATCCACATTTTAGGCATCCATGGCAGAGCCTTGGACCTATGGAATGTTTTCCTTGTGGAATTAAGTGGGGTCTTACTATTAGTACTTGAGGCTTATTTATGGCAATGGCCATGTGAGTGATGATTAAATGAGAGCAAATGTATTTTCTCTTTTTTCTTTTCTATTTAGGTTTCCCCCCTACTTCAATGGAAGAGGGCTGGTGTTTTAAATAATAAAAGTCACAGTTGAACTCTGAAAGTATGGGTTTGGGTACATTTTGTGTGTATACAGTTGGTTACTGGACTTGAGTCCTGGAGGTGAGCATTTACAGTGCTTGCATTCTGAAGGAGGGGTTTGGATATTTACTGTTGAGGGGATCTGAATTTCGTTTTCTGTGCGCCTTGGCAAGGACAGTGATGGTTTTAAATGATATTTGAAAGTGTTTCTTTTCACGTCACCCTGCCTCGATGGGAGACGGCCAGCACGTTAAAAGTAATAAACACCTTCATCCAAAATTTTTCTAATGCCTTTTTCATTTTCCTGAGGAGTTTTTAAAGATTTTTTTAACTGTACATGTCTTGGCATCAACAAAGGGAGGTTCATATATTTTTTTCATGGTGAAACTTGAGCTAAGAAAATAAAAAACAAAATGTTTGAAGAATTTTGGGCAGCATTACGAATTTTGTAACATTTGCAAGGCCACACGTTTACAGTTTTAATATGTATGTTGGAGAGAAAAATTAGCAGTAGAGGATGGGCAAGCTTCTTCTAGATACTTCTTTTGTAGTTAGTGTAGTAAATTTGAGTGCTTTTTCATTTTAAGAAGTGAATTTCCAATGATAGAAATTTGACATTTTGAGATATAAAAACCCAGGGAACAGTTGTTGCTGTTGATATTTTAGCAGTTCACTCTTGCTGGGAGTTGCTGGGAGGAAGGACTTCACTCAAAAAAGGAAATCAGCAGATATCTGAAGGTGTGCAGGGTAAAGGTAGGAACTGTGTAGTGCTCACTTTCTTGTGATATTAAGTCAAAGATTTATTTCCATATGATATAGTGTTTGTAGAGAGATGGGTGACATTTGGTTTGTACATGCAGAAAGCTTCATCAAGTACAGAAAAATAAGCAAAGAAACACTGCCTTGTAAAGCAAGTAAGTGTCCTGAGGTTAGGTTAGGCAGTGGAGACGTTAAACAAAAGTCAAGGAATTTTACATTGTATGTGTCCAAATTTGGCAGACTCCCTACCAGTCCCCAACTCTATCATTCATACCTGATATAAACCATAATTTTTAAAGGGGTGGCAAGAGAATCCAGGAAAAGACCTCAGTCAGATCAGGAAGCACTTGTCCTCTTTCCTAACAAACCTGACCTAACTATACCAGAGTAAAAAAGAAGATTGGAGATTTTTTAAACAATTTATTTTTATATAAATACAGCTTTTTTTGTTTAGTTTTTAACACATTCTCATCATTCCTCACCACGGTAGAGTGACCCAGAAATGAGAGAATGCATTCATCGGTATTCATTCAGTCGTTTTCTTGGCAGAAGCATACAGACATCACAATTCAGGTGGCTTCTGAACTGCAGCATCCTCACCCCTTCTTTAGGGTGCAAATGGCACTGTGCTTCTCACCTCCAAGTCTCAAATTCTGAGACTAATTTTGTTACGGGAGCAAAACAATGATTTCTATTGCTGTAGTTAATGCTAGTCTCAAAAGTTTTGGAAGTTGGAAGTTAGTTTTTTTTAATACAACGGCCCTCTCCCCCCAAGGCAGGGTGATCCGAAAAAGAAGAAATGTAAAGCTTTCCTTATTTTTACACAGTTATTTTTATGGCATTATATAACATACCTATTTTGCCCATTGAACTGTTTAACTGTAACACCTAAAAATTATTAACCCAGGCAGTTTATCCCACATTTCTAAGTGAATAGAGACGAACGGTTTTTGGGACCTGACGAGCTGTTGGAGTGTGAGCAGGGTAATATTTTGTGAAGGGATTCAGAGAAACTGGTTAGCTGGATTTTTGGGAAGTACAATGCCTGCACTTTAAAGGAGGGGTTTGGGATATTGGCAGTTTGGAGGGACTTCTAAACTGTCGTACCTGAGCACCTTTGCAAAGACAGTGATTATGTATGAGTGAGGTGAAAGTGTTGAATGATGAAAGTATTTTTATTTTTGGGGATTTTCTTTCTTTTTGGATCACCCTGCCTCGGTGGGAGATGACCGATGTGTTAAAAAAAAAAATCTGATACCCTGACGATGCTGGAGTGATATAATGCTGTTGTCTTGGTGCAGGCAGTGTGTAGCCTCTGTGGAAACTTACATCTTTCATGGGCTCCCTGCACCACTGTTAATGTAGATAGTTTAGCAATTAACAATTTGAAAGATAAATTAGAAAATGAGAATATAATTTAAACTCAAAATTTATTAAGCTGATAGAGGTTTTTTCTTTGGAAATTTATTTGTTTCATATACACCTACCATCCGACTTACGACCGAGTTCGGTTCCGAGAAACCAGTCGTAAGTCGAAATGGTCGTAAGTCGAACTTTACTAATGAATATCAACAAAACATTTTTGTAATGACTTTATTTTATTGTTTTATTTTGGTATTTCATGTTTTACTTTACTTTTTATGTTGTTAGTACTGTATTTTATACTGTAAGGTTTAGGATAAACACTGTGTACAACACAAATAGTTGTTTATTTCCCAGAAATTTGGCATAAAAAACACGGTCATAAGTCGATTGGTCGTAAGCCGAGCAGGTCGTAAGTCGGATGGTAGGTGTACTAGTAAATTTTTCGTATCTTGTTCAGATACAGTACATGTATGACTTTTGATCAAGTGAAAGTAAGAGAATTAAAGTTATACATATTTCTTGCAGATAGATGTCATTCTCTCTGATATGGCCCCTAATGCTACTGGCACTAAGGATCTCGATCATGAGGTCATTATCGAACTTGCATATTCTGCTCTAAGATTTGCCATTCAGCACTCTGCTTTACAGGCGACTTTCCTTTGTAAGGTCGGTACTTTACCTTATTCAAGAATAAATAATAAGTATTTTTAGCTTTACATTTTATGATTAATATGTTGTATGTTTGTGTACCAGGAAAGAACAAGATGAACATAATGAAAATACAGGAGGTCCTCGCTTATACAGTAGATTATGTTCCAGACTATTTCTGTAAAGTGAAATCAACCAATCTAATCTTCCTCAGAACAGTAAAAACCCAGTTTTAACATATTTTCCAATCATTCCTATGTTAGTAATGTTGAATAAGTATGTTTGAAATCAACCAATCTAATCTTCCTCGGATCAGTAAAAACCCAATTTTAATATATTTTTCAATCATTCCTATGTTAGTAATGTTGAAGAAGTATGTTTTATACCTTGTGTGTTTATCAAATTATTTTCCTTTGCAGATATGGGAAGGCCACAGAGACAGAACATTCATCAGCGATGTGGAAAAATTCTACAAGACTGTGAAAGTTGTGAAGCCACCAGCCAGCAGGAGCGATTCTTCAGAAAAATTTATTTTAGGGAAAATGTTTTGTGGTGTAGGTGTAAAATGAATATTTTGCCTTAACATTTATATACCTTTCTTTCTTTTAACACACCGGCCGTATCCCACCGAGGCAGGGTGGCCCAAAAGGAAAAACAAAAGTTTCTCCTTTTACATTTAGTAATATATACAAGAGAAGGGGTTACTAGCCCCTTGCTCCTGACATTTTAGTTGCCTCTTACAACATGCATGGCTTACGGAGGGAAGAATTTGTTCCAACTTCCCATGGGGAAGAGGAAATAAGCAAGAAGAAGAACTAGTAAGAAAATAGAAGAAAACCCAAAGGGGTGTATATATATATGCTTGTACATGTATGTGTAGTGTGACCTAAGTGAAAGTAGAAGTAGCAAGACGTACCTGAAACCTTGCATGTTTATGAGACAGAAAAATGGACACCAGCAATCCTACCATCATGTAAAACAATTACAGGCTTATGTTTTACACCTCACTTGGCGGACAGTAGTACCTCCCTAGGCGGTTGCTGTCTACCAACCTACTACCTAGTAACATTTATATATATATTCTTTCTTTCAACGCACCGGCTGTATCCCACCGAGGCAGGGTGGCCAAAAAGAAAAACGAAGTTTCTT